TAACAAAAATGAGGATGGTTTGAATAGGTCCTTGAAGTTCCTGGAATGATTAGAAGTGTCACCAGGCTGTATTGAATCAGCAAGAGCAGTGGAACAACTGGGCACTTCATGCAGACACACTTGAGGGCAATTATGATATTTAAATCTGAACCCAAATAACTTGGCTGTGATCCTGGTGCTTCTAGGTACTGAGCAGGTAACAGCCTGGTGGGGTGTGAACAGGGGCCTCTTAAGTCGGGCTGGATTTAGTATTCTCTTATTACTCTATGTATAGTCTTCCAAGAATCAAATGCCTGGCTCTTTGGAAGGACAGGGAGAAGATCCCAGCGTGCCCAGCTGTTTTTTGAGGGTCTGGAGGACTGTCCGGTGTAAGGCTCTGCAGACACAGCTCCTCTGCCTGGGGCTATATCAGTGGGGATTGCCCAAGCCTCCAGGGCAGGTGGAAGGTGCAAATTTGGAAACTCGCTGCTTTCTAAAAATAATGGCAGAAGGAAGGCTATAAACAAACATCCTTTCCCCCCAAAATCAGTCATCCACAGCACGTTTTCAATTCCAACAACTTGCTGAAATAAACCTTAGAAGATCCTGTGAGCAAGAATAGCCTAGTGCTGCAAAGCTGGAAGCTTAAGCACAGCTTCCACACTTCCTTGTTCTGCACCTTTTTTGGGGCGTTTGCTGATGTTGCCAAGCAGACTGAGCTGATGGTTCTGCAGAAGTGTGTGCCTGTTCCAGTACCCATGGGGACTGTAGTTCCACATTACAGCACAAGCTGATTTTAAAATATAACAGACTGTGACCCACAGCAACTCCAGAGCAGATCTATGCCCTGATGCACTGTAGCCCTTTGGAAGAGTAAGTCAGCAACTGGAATGCTCCTGACTGGTACAAATGGCCTCTGAGCAAGGAGGGCATGCTACCTGCATTTCCTGTGGAAACACTGGGATGCTGTTGGCTTCCTCAATATGTTTGTCTCTTCCCACAGATGCAAGAAACACTGAACCTTAGTTAAGAGTTGTGTTGAGGGCCAAGGGCAGACTGTTCTAGGTGGGCTTGCTCTGACTTGTGCTTTTGAAATGCATTTAGGGAAGGGGTGTTTTCTGGGTTTGCTGGGCATTCAGAAGTCCTGTTTTATGGTTGTGGAGGGCTTCAGTGGGGTTAATTTGCAATTGCACTAATAAATGCATCCCTAGCTCTTCAAAGCTCCTGATCTTTTTGCATTTTTCATTTGCAATGTTTCTTAGAGCCTTAAACTTATAGCTCTCATAGTCAACCCTTTGACCACATGTACATGAGCAGGGGTGTGTTTTGTTGGTCCTGGGTGTTTCCCTTCTAGCAGAGCCTGTGCTGCCCTTCAGTCAAGTGGGATGGCACAAAGGGATTCCCATGAACAAGCCAAGGGGGATGCTGCAGTTTCCCTCTAAACAGAGCACTACAAACAGTTTGTGCTGTCTGTTGGTAGGTGGGAGAAGGAATTTGGGTCTAGTTACTGACCCTGAACACTCCTGATCTCCCCCAGGATCTGCTGCCTTTCTGTGCGGCCGTGCCCTCCCCTTGTTTTGCCTCACTGCACTGTTGACTGTCAGATAGCCATCGATTTCCTTTCCCCAGTTACAGCCCTGTTGATGTCAGCAGCAGGGAAACCTGAGATGAGCTCCTCATGAAGGTGCCAGCCAAGCCACCACAGTGCTGCCAGCAGTCTGGCCCTGAGCACAGGCGGTGTCACAGAGCCCGTGGGTGGCAGGAGACCCTGCAGTTTGTGGGCTGGGCCCTGTCCCTGGCAAAGGACAGAAGCCATATGGAGTAGGGAGGTACTTAATGGAGGGGCACATGGACATGTTTTCACCAGTTTGAGTGGCTGTGGCTTGCCTTGGCTTGGAGCTGCTGTAGCCCTGGTACAGTAACACAAGGCAGCACTGTGTCACTGTCAGGGCTGCTCAGCATCTTGGGGTACAGAAATGCTTTTGGAAACACAGATCTCCTCCTGCCATGATCCCTCCCATTTACGTTCCTCCTTTGAAGTGTAACTTTAGCTGTTGATACACTAAATGTTGGGATATGTAAATACGGGCACATCCAAATACTGTCAGTAAGGCCTGGGGTGGAGTTGTGCAGTTGCTCCACAGGGAATACAGCTCCCAGGGTTGCTTGGGATTGGGTCTGGTCCCATTGGAAACAGTTGAGGCAGCTGAAATCCCCCTCTTGGATGCCCCTCAAGTGTGTTCAGGCTCCACAGACAGGCAGCTGTCTGGACAGAAACAGAAGCTGCCAGGAGGCTCCTGTCACCTGAAACATCCCTTTCCATACCTGTAATCCATTTGGATCAGGTTCATTTGATACTTCTCAGTTAACTGTGCTAAAACTATCCATGGAACAGATTGTCTAATTGTCCTGAAACATCAAAACATCTGTCAGGTGCCCTCCTGGGAGCTGCCCAGGGCATGCAGGAGGTTTGGGGGTGGAGGGTAATGTTGGGGAGCAGCAGGTACCTCTGCCTGCCCTTGCACTTCTAAATAGTCAAAGGATTCCTAACAGGGGACTGGTCTAATCTGGTACTAAATTTGTTAATATGCTAGTGGTTACTTAAGGGGTGGAAATGGTAAAATTAAGAGTATCGTTTAATGAAAATTATCTGTATTTGCATATATATGTATATATATCAGTCACTGTCCACAGGTTTTGGCGAGGTTGTATATGGGACTGGGATGTAGGAGCTTGCAATTTGAGGTGCAAAACTTTACTGAGATCAGGGAATATGGATTGAAGCATGGAAAGAACCTAAGGGAATCCTAGCCCCTGCAGCCATCAGAGCTGTACTAGGAAAACACTTAAGAACTGGTTTTAAGTTTGTACAGCCCTTCTATGGTGCTGGGTGACCTGGCAGAGTTTGACCTGGTACCTGACATCTGTGTGTCAGGGGCCTGGGAAAAGGTGTGCATGGACCAAGATAATGCGTGGGGTTCAATTTGAGGGACAGAATCCCTTTGCTGGAGACCAAAGACTATGGATTGGGGCAAGGAACCAAGGAGAGTGGCAGCCCTGCCACCATCGGAGCTTCCCACATCATTGTACTGCAGTGACTTAGGGACACTTGGTTTGTCACTGATGTGGGAAAGGGGCTGCCCTGTAGCTGTGCCTCAGTGATGTGCTGCCTCACTGCGTCCGGGGCAGGGACACATTTCCTTTTCACATGTAAGGTACAGCTCAGGCCAGCCTGGCTCTCTGTGACCCAGGGTGGTCATGGAGCTGATCTGTTCCCAACCTAGAGCAGCAAAGCTTCCTGCCCAACCTGCAGGACAAAGCCTGGCTGTGCCCCACCACCAAGACAGTGAGGCAAGAGAAGGGTAACCCTGGGCTGACTGGTCAGGGATTCCCCCAAAACCTGCATCCATGCAATCTTTCAGCTCCCTGCCGGGAGAGTGGGACCAGAGGGCTTGGCATGCCAGAGCCACACAGACCTAAAGACCCCTTACGAGAAACCTGGCAGCAGCACCTTTTCCCACTCTGGGAATGTGGCCCTCACAGAAGGTGAAGCAGTGGTGGGGCAGTGCTGTGCAAGGAGGGTGATGGAGCCTCTCTGGTGATGCCCAGAAGCAGGGCAATGTTAGATGTGACAGAGCTCCTCCACACACCCATGAAGGCTCAGACAACAGCAGAAGCTCAGATCACACCCTGCTGGGCTTCTCCCAGGTTGATTCCAGAGGCCCATCTGCACAACCTTTAGAGTGGGGACAGATGATGGCAGGTGGGTCACCAAGCCAAGAACCCCTGAGCACTGCCCAGGTCCCTCTGGGGGTTGTCCCAGCAGAGCCTCAGCCTCGGTGCCCAGGTCTGACACATGTCACTGTGAGCCATGAGGAGAAACTGTAGATCTTTCAGACTGAGGAGGCTGCTGAAAGGGGCTGGGATGTGTTATGGGGTGTAGAGGAAAAGCAGTTTGGGACTGTACAGGACTTCATGGGAGACACCAAAGGTAGGATAAGAGCATTCGGTCATTTGGGGAAGACCAAGAGTGGGAAGTACAGGGTTAAGGGGATAAAAGGGGTCAGCTGTGTGTGGTTAGGTGGCTGGTCAGTGTGTTTGGCCATGCCCTGCCCATTGCAGCCTGTCCTGGGTGGACAGCAGCTGGAGTGGGACTGTGGCCTCAGGGGTTTGTATATCCCTGGCAGACTGAGGGCCTAAACATGCCTGCAGGATCCACCTTTTACATGTATTTTCATCAGTGGACTTCCATTCTGTCAAGCCAGTGACAGGAGGAAGATGAGGTTGTGGTTGTGGCCAGGTTCATGTGGGTGCTCCTCTGATCTGTGTGGCCAGGCATGTGTGTATCCATACCTGTGGTGGATACGTGTGCTCTGTGCCCGCTGGGCACGCATCTCCAGCCTCGCAGCCGCTTGGAACTGGAGTCATGGAGTAGCCACCCTTGGACTGTTGTGTCCAGGTGGTGTCTTCTCCTTTAGCACATAGCAGACAGGTTTGTCAGGTACTTCAGATATATTCCTACAATCAGCATCTAACATACTTATGGCTTTTTTCCATTTTTATAGGAAAAACTGTCACCCTGATCCAGACACTGAAACTTGTCAACTGATGGGACAAAGAACTGAGACACTTGGCTGTTCTAGGACACTAAAACATAGGGTTTAGACAAAGAATATTTTTCCCCCGTGGAGGCTTACACCTGCCAAACCCTGTAGCAGTCTTGGGAGGCTTTTCTATCCCTCTTCTCTATTTCCAGATTTTCACGCATCATGGTATTCCTTTTGACTTCTTTTGCAAGCTAGCTCTGGCTCTGCCTTCCGCTTCCCCTATGCTTTGGTTTGGGTCCCCAGTGTGAGCTGCTGGCTGTGGGCTGGTTCTGCTTTTCTGCCTCCAGCTGCTGCTTGGAGGTGCCTCTTGAATGTTGTGACTGACTTGCTTTTTCTTTCTCTTTCACTGTATCTCTTTCTCTCTCTCCAATCTGTCTTTTGCATTCTCCATTCTTCCCACCTCCGTCACTGCAGGTTCATCATGCCTAGTGGCATATAAAAAGACTCCACCTCCTGTCCCACCACGGACCACATCAAAGCCGTTCATCTCTGTCACTGTGCAGAGCAGCACTGAATCAGCCCAGGACACCTACCTGGACAGCCAGGACCACAAGAGTGAGGTGACCAGCCAGTCAGGGCTCAGCAATTCCTCGGACAGCTTGGACAGCACCAGGACACCCAGTGTGACGAGGGGGAGCGTCGTGACTCCAGCCAGAGACACTCCAGAGTTATCTCAGAAAAATGCAACTTTGAAAAGTGACAAAGGGACTCTGACTAGCGAAGAGCCTAAAGTGGAGAATATCCCCAAAAGAAAGCTGTCGTCTATAGGCATACAAGTATGGAGTAGTTTGTTCTCCTTTGTCCCAAGGAATGTCCTTACCCCATCCATTTAGCGTGTGCCTTTTCTGTGACCAAGTGTGCATCTGAGCTCACTTAGAATAGCAAGAGACACTCACTGCCTTGTCAGACTAACTGCCTGTGTTCCCGGGGTGAGGGACAGTAGCACCTTCCCATAACAGCCCAGAAAGGACTAAGTTCTTTTAGTACAAATTTAGTGTTTCCGAGAGCAGTGGGATCATGTTAACTGAGTGAGTACCTCTGAAGAGGCCTTTTGCTGCTGGTCTGCCTGTACTTTGTACTCCTTCCCATCAGCCTGCTCCTTGTCTGCCATGGTTCTAGGGACCTTCTGCTTAACATCCACGTGGGATGGGCTGCTGCAGTGCCACGTGGTCCCAGAGCTGTAGGCAGGAGGGATCAATTCCTTGCTGTCCACCATTCCCAGCAGGTTGCTGCCTCCCTTCCTGGAAGCATTTAAGTCTGTGGAAATCAGTGGAAATGAGCTGTTGATTTTGTGGTCAAATGAGAACCCATGTAAATCCATGCTGTAGTCAGCAAAACTGCATCCTCTGGAGCTGCACCCTCCTCTGGGGACAGGTTTCTTAGTTACAGGTGGCTATCAGCTCTTGTTCTGTCCCAGGTGCTGGTTTAGGGCTGTTTCCTGCAGATGGGAACTTGAGCAGCTTTAAATGTAGGATCTGAGCTTTGAGCCACCGTGTGTGTGCTGAACAAGTTCTCCATCAGCTTTACAGCAAGGCTACCCGGCCAGTGAGGTACAGGTGACAGTGAAGCTTCTCTGCAGGGTTAGTGGGGCAGAACACCTGCTGGAAGGGCAGCAAGGTGAGAGAACATGCATTGAGAGGCTGAGTGCCATCTTCTCCTCTTCTCTGAGCTAGTTCCCAAGCCACCTAGATTTCTTTCCTAAAACCTTCTAACCCTCTTATCTGGAGCTGTGGAGGGTGTCAATCCCTGGGAGAGAGGAAGCAGGGCTTTGCTGTCAGTCTCAATCAGCTCTCTGTCCCCACTTGAATCCCTTGGCCCTTGCCCATGTGGGATGGCACACACACAGGGACACACGGCCCTGCCCTGCCATGCAGACACAGGTGGGTGGGCTCTTAGAGCAGGTACCTGGCAGCAGCCCGGAGGACACTGCCCTGATCCTCAGGTGGGAGCAGAGCTGAGCAGTAGCCTCATGCCTCTCCTTAGACAACCCTCCCGTTGGCGTGTGGTGTCAGCATTGCTCTGTGTGTGTGCAGCACCCCGGTCTACTAATGTGAATTCCAGCAGCGAGTTCTTGTGTCTGTTTTTGTCTGTATTTTTTTTGTTTAATAAGGTTGACTGCCTTCAGCCAGTGGCAAAAGAGGAGCCTCCTCCACCAGCCACCAAATTCCAGTCCATCGGAGTACAGGTAGAGGACGAGTGGCGGTAAGTGAGACGCAACCTTGTGTAGTTTTCTTTCTTTTAAATTGTGCTTCCCCCACTTCTGCTTAGACCTTCTTCCCTGCTTTGTGCCAGTGAGTGGTGTTGAATGGGGCCTATGGAGAGCTCTTCCTCCACAGCACGTACCCACTGCAAAAACCACTTGTTCTGTAACAGCCAAATCAATAGGAGCTTGACATTAAATAAAAAAATAAAAAACTACAAGCTGTAATTATAGATGTGCGTCAGCCCTCTCGTCTGAACGGCCGATTGCAGTAAGCAGGCAACCTTATAATTCTGTCTGTCTGAGTGTGTGGTGTGTCTGTGTGTGAGGAGGGGCAGGGTGAGGCTCCACTGTAGGCATAAACCAAATGGATTTCACTGTCGGTGCGGGAGGCTGGCCAGGTTGAGTCCTGCTATTGAATGTTTGCTTTTGGTCTCTCTAGAAACAGCCACTCTCGCAGCATGTCCTCCAAACAGGACACAGACTCTGACACACAGGAGCCCAATAACTCCAACTGTAAATCATCTGAGAGAAGCCTTGCTGAGTGCCCCCAGCACAACTCCATTGGTGTTGATGCCACCACCAGGCAACCAGCCAAGCCCTCACAGATTAAGAGAAACCTCTCCTATGGAGAAAACAATGACCCAGCCCTGGAGCCTTCTTCCCTTCCTCCTCCTGACCCCTGGCTTGAGACCTCCACATCGCCATCGGAGCCCACGCAGCCCGGGGCCTGCCGGCGGGATGGGTTCTGGTTCCTGAAGCTGCTGCAGGCAGAGACAGAGCGCTTGGAAGGCTGGTGCCGTCAGATGGACCAGGAGACCAAAGAGAACAATCTCTCTGAGGAAGGTGGGTGTTGGCAGCCTCTGAACTGGAGCAGCCTGGCAGCACCTGTGGCTGCCGCATCCCTGGAAGTGAGCAAGGCCAGGTTGGATGGGTGTTGTTGGAGCAACCTGGCCTGGTGGAAGGTGTCCTTGACCATGGCAGGGAGTAGGAATGAGATGGCCTTCCAACCCAAACCATTCCTTGATTCTGTGAAATTACTTGAAGCCCACAGAGGCAGAGCATGGAGGTGAGGATGGGATAAGGAACACTTTTTCCTTGGAAAGGATAAGGTAACTTCCTCTAGCAAATGGTATAAGAAATAAGGCTGTGATGCAGCATATAAGACGTGCACGGGATGATGTGGCTTCTGACTACTCGAAACTGCTAAAAGCTTAAATGGATTTAATCTTAAAAGAAGTTAAATGGGAAAAGCTTTCAGGGAGGTTGTGGGATCTCTCCAAGCCTCACGCATTACATTCAAACAGGGAAAAGCTTAGCTGGCAGTGGGACAAAATGAACACAACTTTTGAGCTTGTTTGATATGTTCAGTTGATGAACTTGTCTTTATAGGAAAGTGGAGGTTTCTTCATATGGGAAAGCCTCACGGAATTTGTGCTGAATACACCAAAAGCATATGCACGGGGAACACAAGGCCACTTGATATTATTGGGTTCAGTCCCAGTTGGGCTTGTTTCATTATTTTCAAATGAGTTGACAAACTGTGGGCTTTTTGCAGTGGGAATCATGCCTATGGTGCATGTAGAATGACAGGAGTGGGTGACAGGGTTGCAGAGGGCAGGATCTTTGTATGGAGTCTGGTTTTTATGTTTTTAATACCTGAGAAAGGTGAAACAAAGGTGAGGCTCAGTTTTAGCTCACTGTCACTGCTGGGGCCCGGGGAGCTAATGCCTAATCCGATTGCCCTGTAGTGCTGCCCTGGCTGCCAAGGGTGCAGGCCTTGCCAGGGATCTCCCTGCCTCGGGGTGACCTGGTTTGACCTGTGGCAGGAGTGCTCTGACAAGGAAACACACCAAGACTCATGTGAGCTGTGACCTCTAAGAACAATCTGCTGGTCGATTCTGTAACCAAACCCTTGGTGGGTATGAGTGAGCCCAGCACACGCTTGTCCCACTAAGATTTCCAAACACTCTGAACTAGCTCAGGTGCAGCAGCAGAGCAGGGGGAGAGTGGGGCTCAGCTGGTCCCCGCTAGTGATGGAGCTGCAGGCCTGGGAGTGGGGGAGGCTCTGAACCTGCCTTTGGAAGGGAAGAACCCAAACAGTGTATTTGCACTAATGAGCAGAGGAACGTTGCCATGCCCAAAGGCTGCTTGGAAAACCTGTTAGGAGCATGAAGTCCTGGGTGTCAGAAGTCCTGTCCTCAGTGTGTTAATCCCTGCTGGTACACGGAGGTTGCAGACAGGTCTCCCTTTGCCACCTTCACCTCGTGCAGGGGTGGAAGAGCAGGATGTGATCTGTGAGGAGGTGCCAGCAGACCTACTCACAGGTGGTGCTGGTGGCTCCTGAGGGGCTGAGGGCAGTTTAAAGAACTTTCTGCCATCTTGGGTGTTGTAATGTCCTCAACCTGGTCTACTTTTGGCCTACCAGAAGGAGCATTAATAGATGGTAAAGACAAATGTAGTTTCAAAACATCATCTCTCCCTAAGAGCACTTAGTGCCTGAAGATCTCTGAAACTGTTTTTCTAATAACTTGAGTGTTTCTTTGCTTCAGAAACACTGGAGTTTATTGCTGCAATTAATACTCCGTTCAAATGAAGTCTTTTTCTTTTTTCCTCACCCACAGTCTTAGGAAAAGTCCTGAGTGCAGTGGGCAGTGCACAATTACTAATGTCACAGAAGTTCCAGCAATTCCATGGCCTCTGTGAACAAAACTTGGTGAGTCTGGATTTGTCTCTTCTGTAGCCTCAGCCTGCAGCTGTAGCCTCAGGTCAATGCCACGGTGGGTGAGGGCTGGCTTAACCTGCTGCTTCTCAAGGGCTTTTTGGGGTGAACTGCTGAGGTTTGGCTAAAGAGGAGGGACTGTTTGGAAAGCCTACTCTTGACCAGATATGCTTCCTTTGTGTGTAGATGATGTGGTTGGTAAAACTGTCCCGACAGAATTGTCACACTGGTCACACGGCACTAGGAATCGATTTCTGCAAAGGGAATGTAGGGGTTTGCCCTTGTTCAGAGCTGAGCAGGGCTAATGTGGATTGATGGAATCTGTGGGTTTGTTTTCCCCTCGAGCTTTATGGATTTTGCCAACTTTCTCAGAGGTGAATTCCCCTTTACATGTAAAATAATCCCAGAGAAACATGAGAAGGAGAGGGTAAAGTGCTGAGCATTTGCCTGCTGATCTCTGGCTGATTACAGCTGAGCAGCAGCACCACAGGCTGCCAGGCTATCAGCAGAGCTTTGTGCTGAGTTGCTCCAATGTGATCCCAGGCTTTCCAGGGCTGACGATGGCAGTTCAGCTGTCTGGGAACTGGGAAAATCCTGTTCCTGGAAGAAATTTAAGCTACTTAAAATTTTTTTATCCTAGCCTGAGAAGTACTGGTGCTTTCACATTGTTTTGGGGGGGAATGGAGCAAAGTAATTTTGCTCATGAAAGCTCTGTTTGGCTCCTTGGAGTGCTGTACATCTGCATGTGAATTCTCCAGGCATCAGAGCTGTGTTTGTGTTGTGGTGTGTCCACTTCCATTATTTCCCACCCTGAAATCAGGATCTCTGTGTTCTGGCTTTGATTCCCATGCTGGGGACCTTCAGGTGGGGGTTCCTGCTGTGGGATTAGTGCCAGCAGAGTGTGTCTATCTCAGGGCTATTCTTCAGGCTGCTGTAGAAGTGCAGTCAGTACCTCTGCTTCCTGAGTTTGGCAGAAGTGTTTTGGGCTGTAAATGATGACTTTGGGTGTCTGCATGCTCAGGGCTGGTGTCTCCTGTGGGTTCTTGATGGTTTTGGTTGCAGGCAGGCGTGAAAGGGTAAAAGGTAAAATATGTTTGCAGGCTGCTCTGCTTGCAGGAAGGTATGCTTGTTCTCAAAGGCGTTTTTTAATGCTTTCCCTTCTAGAACCCTAATGCCAATCCTAGACCCACAGCCCAGGATTTGGCTGGATTTTGGGATCTCCTTCAGTTGTCCATTGAAGACATCAGCATGAAGTTTGATGAGCTGTACCACCTGAAAGCAAATAGCTGGCAATTGGCAGAAACACCAGAGAGAAAGGTGAGTGTGGGGCACTGGAGAGTGGCCAGAGCACCTTGCAGACAATTTTGGGTATCTATTTCTGTCTGCAGACAGATGCTCTCAAGGACTTCTGCCATCTGGCACTTGAATGGTCTCACAGCCTTGCAAGGTACTGAAGCCATTCTTCTTGAGTAAAATTGGGAACAGTTTTGTACAAGGGGAAAAGCTGTTGGGATGGAGAGAGCCCAGAGTGGTGAGCAGTGCTGCAGGGGCCTCCAGTGTTCCCAGCAGTGGGTGAATGGGTTTAACTATTCCTAGTACCTGAGTAGTGTAGAAAACAACTGGAACCTTTTGAAAATGCAGAAGAGGTGGTGTCCCTGGCTCTGCAGGTAAGGGTAGAAGGACTGTGGCTCAGGGCAGGGCAGCATATTTAAATTTTGCAGTTCCAGATCAAGTCATGTTTTCTTGCCACCTGTGCTGTGCTCTGACCTCCAGCTCGGCCAGACACAACCTCTGAACTCCAGGCCACCTCAGAAGGCCCCTGTACCGTGGAAGCTGCGTGGAGCTGTGTCGGGGGAGGTTTAGGTTGGATATCAGGAAAAGGTTCTTCCCCCAGAAGGTGGTCGGGCACTGAACAGGCTCCCCAGGGCAGTAGTCACAGCCCCAAGGCTGCCAGAGCTCCAGGAGCGTCTGGACAGCACTCTCAGGGACATGGTGGGACTGTTGAGGTGTCTCTGCAGGGCCAGGAGTTGGACTCAATGATCCTGTCTGTCAGGATCATCAACCTCTGGGTTGTGGACTCCCCGTCCATGGAAGTGTTCAAGGCCAGGTTGGACGGGGCTTGGAGGAACATGGTCTAGTGGAAGGTATCCCTGCCCATGGCAGGGGGGGTGAAACTGGATGATCTTCCAGCCCAAACCATTCTGTGATTCCACAAGTCTCGTAGGTCCTTTCTAACTCAAAGACATTCTACGAGTCTGTGAAATGCAAAATGGCACATCTCTAGAAACTGGGGCAGCTGGTTTTGAGGTGTGTTTTGCTCAAGAGCTGCTCCTGCTTCTCTCCCCTGACACTGGATCTCACTGCTCAGTCCCTCACACCTAAAGTCCCCACCAGGTCAGAGCAGGCGTCTGTCTGTGCATGTTTATTTTAGATTTGGGGTTTTCCTCACTGTCTCCCTAAAGGAAGAGAAGAAACCACCCCCTCCAGTGCCAAAGAAGCCGGCCAAGTCCAAATCGCAGCTGAACCGGGACAAAGGCTCCGACTCGGACAAGCAGCGGCAGGAGGCACGGAAACGGCTGATGGCGGCCAAGCGCGCGGCGTCGGTGCGGCAGAACTCGGCCACGGAGAGCGCCGACAGCATCGAGATCTACGTCCCTGAGGCACAGACCCGCCTCTGAGCCATGGGCAGAGCACGGCACCGGGTGGGTTTTATAAGTCATTAAAAAGGAAAAAAAAAGGTTCTCTTGAAACTAGTGTGATTTATTCAGTCTAGAGACAATGAGCCATCCTTGAAAAGGGCTCCTGAGTTGGCTTTTTTCTCTCAGCTTTAAGTAATGAAGATTTTAACAAAAAAAAAAAAAAAAAAAAAAAGAAAAAAAAGAAAAGAAAAAAATGCCCCTCGTTTTCTCCCTGGCTGTGGTGTCGCTGAATGGACTGGACAGACTCCTGGGAACTCCAGCCCCTCGACCTGGAACTTCAGTCTTTTTACTTGTTCTATCTCATGAAAATTATTAGCTTGTTTACAAGAAGAGGACAAGAAAACATGAAGCCTTGAGCACTTGCCATGCTGTATTTTTTCTCCTCCTTAGATCTGTTTTGCCCTTCTCATCCTTTATTTTTCCTTCCCCCTGCTCCCTTTTTCCCACTCTTTGCATGGCTTCAGTTCCCGTGTTCCAAACACCCCTTCCTGCAGAGAACACCCATTGGTGTGCACTCCTGCTGCACTCTGCCAGCCAGCAGCCTTCCTCGGGGTTTGTGTTCCTTGGGATGGGATATTGGGGTGGGCAAGGACTTGGGGGCGGGGGGTTGTATCCTCTGTTTATGGGAGGGAGAAGATGCTGGGGCCTGTAGAATGTACAGAGGGGTTGAAATGCAGCCCAGAAGCAAACGTGCAATAACCTGGCAAGGGGGGAAGGGACAGCGAGCAACTGATCCTGAGAGCTGGACCTTCCTCCAGGCATAGGAGCGGAGCTGAAGGACCACAGAACACGAGCCACATCACTTCGATTTTTCTTCTCATTCCTTTCCCAAGTTACCTCCCTTGAATTGCTTGTTGAGAAAGAAGCTGCTGCACAGGGGGACCTGTTTGAGTGGGTGGGGTCGGGGGAGGGCAGGGGAGCATCCTGGTGCTGGGGTGGGTGATCTGTGTGTGTACAGAGAGGGGGGCAGGAGCGGCCACCGGCCTGTACGATGTGTACATATGCACATATACACTTAGTAGTACCTGTATAGTAATTCCTACACACGTATACCTGCCCATGCACACCATGCAGGTGGGACACACCTAGGTGAGGGTGGGCTGATGTATAGCATATATTTTTACATGTACTATATCTAGATGTGTGTAAAAGTGTGTGTAAAAATATATACCCTGTGTGTAAGCAGATGACTATTTTTTCCTTATCTCCCTGCTCTCTGGGTAGAGGAAGGATTACTAAATATTTTTTAGCCCGTTTTTCCCTTTGTAAGTCTCCTTTTCTGGCTTCTCAGAGCCAGAGCTGCCACTATGTGATTCTTTGCCACCCCCTCCCACTAAAGGTTTTTGTCCCATCCTGAGGGATCTTGCTGGGGATTTTTTTTTTTTTCTTCACATTTGAACAAGTTGGGAGATTGTATGCTACTGTCATGGGGGTGGAGGTGGAATCCCAGAGGTTTCAGTGAGAGTGGTGGTGATCCAGAAGGCAAAAATTAAATAAAAGTGAAATCCTGAATGCTGTCTGAGCGTTGTGTGCTGTCCTGGGTTGTCCATGAGATGTTTCTGCCCACAACCCTAAACTCTGAAACATGGGGCTGGATTCCCATCAGAGGTTGGCCATGATGTGATTCAAATTCAACACTGGGTTGAGGTGGGGGTCAGGCTCTTCTCACGGAACAAAGGACAGGACAAGAGGAAACAGCCTCAAGTTGTGCCAGAGGAGGTTGGATATTGGGGAAAACTTCATGGAAAGGGTGGTCAGGCCCGGGCATGGGCTGCCCAGGGCAATGCTGGAGGCACCATCCCTGGATGTGTCCCCAAGGTGTTCTCAGGTGGCACCTGGGGAGAGGGGTTAGTGAGCACAGGGGGATTTGGTTAAAGGCTAGACTCTTATCTTGCAGGCCTCTTATAACCTTAATGATTCTGTGTGGGTAGAAACACTGTTGTCTTGCACTGTCGGGTTTTTGGAAGGGTTGCAAAGATGCTCTTTTAGGGAATACCAGGGAAATGTGATTTTTTTTTTTTTTTTAACTTTTTAAATTTTTGTTTTATTTATTCTTCCCAAAGTGGCTGAGGCTGCTGCTGGGAGCTGTCGAGAGCTGCCCCTTTCCAGGGTCAGTGAGCACCAGCCCAGCCCCCCAAATTGTTCAGTGACAGTCACAGCCCCGGGCTGGGTCACTGGGTGGGCAGTGGGTTGGGAGCTTGGGGGAGCTGTGCCCACCTGACTTGTTTGTTTGCTGCCCCTCAGAGAGAAGAGCTCCCAGGAGTGCAGAGAATGGGTTATTTACCCTAAAACCAACCAGAACTGCCCCTGGTCTGATCTGTGGAAGGGCCACATCCCAGGGCAGGGGGACACGAGGCTGTTCCTCGGGGTGGGGTGGGCAGGGCAGGGTGGGGTCCTGCCCCCTCGCAGCCTTCGTGCCCTCTGTGGTCACGCTGGGTGTGATGGGCTAGCAGAGCGCCCCCCCCCCCCCCCCCCCCCCGGCTTTACCTGCTCACCTGTGTGGTACCTGTGTGTTATAGATATCATTTATATTAGTTGCATAATAATAAATATAAATAATATTTATGTGTTTATATATTATTATACAGTATCATGTAATTTATATTAAAATATATTAAATATATTAAAATTACCTAATCCCTACAGTTTAATAAATGCACTTACATATGTTAATTACATAACTATATTAAATTACATATATATGCAGTACATACATATATACATACAAATACAGGGATAAAGTGTTACATATATAAATAGGTGCATAACACTTAAACAAAAAAAATGTCTTACACGTATTTAAACACGCCCTTAAATGACAATTCCACTATCACGTATATAATTCTTATCTGAGGCCAGAGGGAGCACGCAGCCAATCACAGGGCTGCCTGAGATCACGTGGGTACCCTAGTGTCACGAGATGGCTGCCAGCCAATCACAGAGCGGCATGACGTTTCACAAAATGGCTGCGCCCTATCATAAGATGGCGGGCGGAACAAAATGGCCGCCTCCAGCGGACACGGGGGTGTGGCCTTGTGTCAAACATACTTCCGGGAATAACTCGTGGGCGGGGCGACTGGTCCTGCCAACCAATCACAACACATACCTAGTTGCAGGACAAGGCCAGCCCCGCCCCCGAGGGCCCCGGGCGGGGGAGGGTCCGGGGGGATTGGGGGGAGACTCAGTCCATGTCCCGGAGTGTGCCCTCCCCGTGCCCGGTCCCTATCCCGCTCCGTGCCGCGGCCGGCGCTGCAGCCCCGGGCTCTCCCGGCCCAGGAGCCGCTGACACAGCAGCTGTTCCCCAGGGCTCCCCCATAGCGCCTCTTTCTCTGTGAATGCACGTGGGCCCCGCGGCACCGGCCCCGCACATTCTGCTCGGGTGCCTCCGGTCCCCCCCGTCAAACTGGGGCTCGGGAGCCGGGCTGGCGCCTCCCCGGGAGGCCATTCCAGGACACGCTCCCGGGTGATCCCGGCAAGAGGAGCCGGGTGGGTTTTTGCTGCCCCGGCCACACGTGCAGGGCTCGGGGACCCTCGGGGGGGTCCCTGCTGCTTCGAGGCACAGCCTCAGCAATGGGGGTGCAGCTGCCAGGGATGGGGGCCCGGGGCCTGACCCACCTGTGGGTATTTTTGGGGCAGTGTTGGCAGTGATGTAAGAACTGTGAAAGGCTGGCAGAGCTGGGGGTGTCGAGCCTGGAGAAGAGCAGGTTCCAGGAGACCTTACAGCTCCTTCCAGTGCCTAAAGGGGGTCCAAGGTGGCTGGAGAGGGACTTGGGACAAGGGCCTGGGGGGACAGGACAAGGGAGAATGGCTTCCCAGCGCCAGAGGGCAGGGTGAGGTGGGATATTGGGAAGAAATGTCACAACGTGAGGGTGGTGAGGCCCTGGCACAGGTTGCCCAGAGAAGCTGTGGCTGCCCCATCCCTGGAAGTGTTCAAGGCCAGCCTGGATGGGGCTTGGAGCAACCCGGTGTAGTGGAAGGTGTCTCTGCCCATGGCAGGGGGTGGGACTGAATCGTCTTTAAAGTCCCTCCCACTGCAAACCGTTCGATGATTCTTTTAAGTACGAAAGTGTGGCATTAACGAGGCTGTTGAGTGTGCCCAGGGCTGGGCCAGAGCGGGGCCCCTCCTGCCATCACACCGGTCCCAGCTGCTGCCCTGGAAGGTAATGAGGGTGGGATAGGTCAGATCAGTGCCCCTTCTCCCCTGTAACGTCGCTCAGTGCCAGCCGGACCCCATCGCCCGCAGCGCTGTGTCCGGACCCCTGCTGGGGCCAGGGGTCCCTTCCCCATGGTGGTGGGTGCAGCTCCCCGAGGCTCTGCCTGTCGTGTCTGCAGGTCCCCAGGGACTGATGGCTGGCAAAGGCACCTCTGTGCAGCTCAGGAGCCCTGAGGTGCTGCTTGAGGCCACAGCACAGGCAGCAGAGCTGGGGGGCACCAGCTGTGGTTCCCCCAGCTATGACCATCTGTCACTTTGCAGACCCCTGAGGTGGGCTGCAGACCCTGCCCTGGCTGAGTCCCGGCTCCAACCTCCCATTCCCCATGGGAACATGCCCCATTCCACATCCCTCACCACAAGCACAAAGCACCAGTGGCCCATGGAAGGTGGGGGACATCCTGGTGCTATTCCTGACACCTTGGTGGCCCAGGGGTTTCCCTGGAGCTGCAGGAGTGAGGCCTGGCTGGAGGCCTGGTGCCTCCATCCCTGCCCAGCTCCCGTCCAGAGCTCCGGGGGTCACCATACAGCCCAGGAAGGGGTGAGAGGGCTGTGAGGGGCTGGGGCTGGCACCCCCACCATGGCAGGGAGCTGGCATGGACTGCAGCCCTGTGTGTGCAGGGCTGGTGACCCCTGGGGCACCCTGAGCCCCCCTTGCTGCAGTGCCTGTGCTGCTGGCATGTCACTGCCCTGACACAGAGAACAGGACCCAGGGGAACAGCTGGAGCTGTGTCAGGGCAGGGTGAGGTTGGATCTCAGCAAAAGGTTCTTCCCCCAGAGGCTGGTTGGGCACTGAACCGGCTCCCCAGGGCAGTGGGCACGGCCCCAAGGCTGCCAGAGC